AATCTGTCCTGAGCTCTACAATCGTTAGATTACTTTTCTTTCGGAATTTGACACAAGTCAATGGTTAACTGTGCTTTTGTATCAACTTACTTTGCGGCTTTTCGGTTTCTCACGTCAAGGTCAGTCTTAGTTTATCCTTAGGTAGTGTACCACCCGTTTCTATCCACTTAATCTGTTCTGAGTGTACATTTTTTGTTTTACGGTCGTAGACGTTTTCTAAGATCTATTAAACAATTCGCATCAACATAATCATGATGAAATGATAAAAGTGATCTGTATGCCGTTTCGCCGTCACCTCTGACACTTAGTGTAACAAATGCACAGGTTGGTTCCACGAAGCATGTGCAGATCTTACAATAACTACATACAACGGACTTATTGAGTCAGATCGTAGGTGGGTTGATGGCACGTGCAGCATAAATGCTTAGGATTTTCTGAGCAGCATCACTATTCTCTTGACAGGTTTGCGGAAAGAAGCTATCGGTAGACCTGAAGAAAGGTAGTCCTAGATTGAGTAAAAAAAAGCGCATAGTGAAGAAAAGAAATGGGACCTCGACAACGTTAGTATTGATAGGGCATGTATTAACACTAGTGAGGACATACCGCACCTTAGCGCCATCGTATCATTGACGGTATTAGACTTCGTCGGTAAACTTGGGTCTTAAAACACAGGTTCCTTTAATGCAACGGTTGTCTCCAAAAGCTCCACAGGCGATTGAACCTCTTTCAACAAAGTTGAAAGGGACCGGTTTTCGCCGTCCAAGAAGCAGAACATCCCAGGTATTGAGTGAAATAAACTGGTGATTGGACCAAACTATCTACTCCTAATTCCGTCCAACCAGTCAGCAAAAAGCAAAGGAATCGGAAACTTGCTTCAACCAACAAACATTAAGGTCCTCGACCTGAACGTACACGAAAACCTGGGTGAACGATCACGGTTCGCGATGACTGTTTCAAGATAATGAACCTTAAAGATAGGCCTGACCTTCCCCTTAGTCTGCAGGATGCTCTGTGAAGAGTTGAAAGCGAAGCTCGCATAGTCTAAAATAGAGCCTCTGACACACATGGTTTGCTCGGGGAAAGGACTCCAAGCATCATAGTCATCAAAGTCACTAACTGAAATCGGATGGAAAATTAAGAATACTGCCTGATATAATGTATTCTGGGCAGCCTGATGCGGAACATTCTTAAGAAGCATTGAGAGACGTTGATTCGCGGAGGAAATATCATCATGTACAATGTGCCAGAAAACGCAGACCCCGACCACCCAAACTCTGACATTCGAGGATGGAAAATTGTCACGAAGACCTTGAAACTCAAAAGATTATTGACTCAACAAGTGGCGGCGCTAGCCAAAAGGACGGTGGTTCTAGACGTGGCTGATGAAGATAACTTTTCCATCCTCCCATATAGCACCTGCAACTCTGGAAGCATTTCGTGCCCACAGACACCGGTCGCCAATTGGAATCCTTACGCATGTTAGATATTTGGCAGCTAACACGGGAACACGCCCGTTTTCTTATTCGTTCATTCCTATAAGACCACTGAGGTCATTCTAATAAGAACGTGAAGATTGATCAAAGAGCTTGGTAGGATAACTTGTACAATGCATTGGAGACAATAAATTTTCGACACGATTGGACGACTTCTTATTGCAGAGATTCCATACGATAGGATTTCTCGACGTGTTTCTATCCAATTTTTTTCTGGTTTCAGGGTTGTTAACAACAGTTCATGCTTAGGATCACTATCTTTTGTTAAAGAGACCCTCGGCTATATTGTTTGACTCAAAAATATGTCATATATTTGAAATATATTCTTAAGTGTTGTCCATTTTCAAGATTCTGGAGGACAAATATGGCCACATCGATTTTGTGGTAGGATAAAAGACAATTTGATTGTCTTGTTGTACATAAAACTGAGAAAAAAGCGCAGCGTTTGTAGGTTACGTTACTGTTGTTAAGTCTGCCCATTGATTTTTGTGTTTCATGTTGTTATCCTTGGCTTTGTAGTTTCTGATTTGTTATCAGATGAAGTTGCTTAATTTCATGGCAACATACTTATTGTTTGCAACTTAGAATACTGCACACTTTGATCTGAGGTTTCATCTGGCAAACGGTGTTGGTAAGTAACGTGTTTTATAACTCTTTGTAGAAAACACTGAATCGTCATTGAGATGTCAAATAAGATTTAGTTTGTAAATTTTTCCTGTTATATTCTACCATTTTCATATGGTTGTAGACGGTACAGAATAATTCCACATCGAAAGTATTGAGAGTTAGAGATTAGGGTAAGATTTGTCATAGAATAGTATTAGGAGTTGAGAATAATAATACGGTCAAGATAAGAGGATGTTTGGTAGCCATATCGATCGAAAACGACAGATATATTCCCTTGTTTTGAAACCTCAAGAGCCTTTCGTTGAAAATTTGTAAATTAAGCTGAAATTCTATATATTTTTGGAAGTTATTTATATCTCTTACTCTCACCATCATTTTAAAAATTAAGCAAGTCCAGGAATTTTCGTTACCTTTGTAAAGCGAGATTTAGGGTAATAAACTTCCGAGGTTTCTATATTCCCCCTCTTACGTAATTCTTTAATCTGTAAATGCACGTGTTCTCTGAAATTTCGCAGACTGTGTATTTCCTGTAGCTAGGTTTTTAACACGTGTAGCAACCCAATCCAACCTATTTTCGATTTATTTATTTCTATTTATAAGCCATAATTTAGAACAGGGTGTAATTCTCCGACGATATCTTTCAAATATGTTTCCGTATTTATCAATTTGTAGAACTCAATGAAACGAACAAATTGCTTTCCAAACTGTTACTTGGCAATTCAGATGGTAACATATGTGATTGTCATTTGTAATCTTTTCAGGCCTTGGGATCGCATCCTGAACGACCGTGGTGAGACTATAATTTATGGGTGACCTTTGAGCGATGTTAAAGTGACCTTGAGCATGTCCACCTACTATATAGGACCAAATGAGAGTCATGAACCGTAGTGAGGAATTAGAATTATGATTTACGGTTGGTGGTTTGGGTTAGGAATTAGACTTAGGGTTTTTGTCACAAAATGACCATCTAAAATCCAGAAACGCTATTTAACCAAATAGATGACTGAATTTCTCACCAGATATCTTATATCTGATTGGCTCACCCATAAATAATAGTCTCGTTCCGACCGCAGTCTTACCAATTTCATGTATCAGGAAATGCATTTAGCGATTTCAGTCTGGACTTACTTTCATGTTCTTAAATTCTGCTAAAACGACATCTGTAACTTCATTTTTTTCTTGTGCGGCCCTAGTGGTTTTCATCAATGGCTGCGGTTAGGTACATATTGACAAATTTTATACTCCCGTTCCATGTGTGTATGTGGAGAGTTGGCTGGTTATCAATGGTGCCTTTGTTCAGTTTATTTTGCGTTACAAATCAATCTGAAAAATAAGTATGTTCGTCTGACTCCTTGTTATTATTAGGAAGCATTAAAGATGTTATTATCCATGTTTCATCTAACTATAGAAATAATAGTGTGTCTACGACTATAACAATCATGTATAAATTCTCCGGAAAGAAAAACTGAGTTATTGCCTATCCTCTTGATTGTATCAATATTCAGGTCAAATTTTATCTTTGTAGGTCGATTAATCTAAAGTAGGTAGGCTAAATAACAGAACGTGTTCAATATCTTTCATGTTTAGATATATTTTAGAATGACTTATTCGTTTAGTTAATTCGTTCATAACAAAATTATACGCTACTGTTCTACAGTGGAACACTTACATAGTGAAATATATATAACTTTATTATATTGCCTTGGATGCTCATAATTAAGGAATATGAAATCAAATAAATTGATCAATAACGTTTTTTGGGTATAACAGTGTGTAGTTTGATTTTCTATACACATTTGTGAGACGGTTTATTGGGAAGACATTCTAATATCATTATCCATTGTGTCAATCGAATACCATCTTAATGATTAAACAGAATTTGTTTGTTTAATTGATATATATATATATATATATATATATATATATATATATATATATGATATAGCGATACACAGAAGCCAGACACCACGAAAATATTTGATTAAGGATAATGCAAAACGTTAACCAGAAACTTCTTAAGTACCATGTTCCACAGAAAATCTGAATTTTAAGGTAAATACAGAATCAACTTTTTAAATAATTCATCTTAGTAAGCTGGAAACCAAACTACTCATACAAAAACAGTATAATCTGTATAAGTATCGGTAAATGTATGAGTGTAATGTATAACCTAGAAAGATAAGATTTGACATCCATACGTTGTAATTTGTAGTAAAAAGCTTTGAGGGTCGATTGCGATAGGGTAAACTTTTTGACCAATTCATATGCGGAAATGCATCTTACTGTATTACTACTACATTGTACTGGATAGGTATACTGTGAGAAGTTCATTGACATATTCAGAACTATTATGATTTCGATTGTACTAAAAATATTCTTAATTGTTTCCTTTTTACCATTTAAACCTGTGTTAATTTTATTCGGTTATTTATTCGCTCTGAAGATGTGGCTTACATTAAGTCAAAAAACGTCGGAAATACAATTTTCTGCTCATTGAGATTTAACAAAAAGGATGTTTTCCATTAACTTTCTATCCAATGATCAATTTATTTAAAACTGTCAAATTCAACCTTGAAATTGATACCTACAGTGAAAAGTTTGTTTAAATAGTGTTGTTGAATTCGCATTATTAGTTGCACCCATCTCTAACTGTAAATACTACTGAGGCATTTTTGTTACAATATAAGGGTTTTATTTTCGAAAGTGATATTTTATTTCATGCTTTCGCCCAAACAATACTTCAGATTATTTAGAGTTGTTTTAAATGTCAAGTTTCGATTGGTATCTGACCACATTTACCACTTAATTTGTTTGGCGTTTCTTTTTATTACAGCCAAATGTTCTCCTCAGATTATGATGGTTGTGAGTCTGACAGTAGTTCATCTAGGTAATTTATGACTATCAATCATAATTCGTGTCATTTTATTTCGTTAAAGTGATTTGTGTTATGACAACAGAAGTGTTAATGCGATCGAGATCTCCAAAGCTAAAGCTATGGAGTTTGATGAATTAATGAACAAAGAACTTGATTTACTAATCAGAAGCGTTCACCATAAAGCAACGGATTTGAAAACAGGAAAAAAGCAAAATAAAAATCTCAGAGTGAGATTTAAAAAGGATCATGACGATGATGGTATGTTTTACTGCTTATTAATGATTTGTTTTAAACACATACAGATGACTTGCCAGTAGATAAAGATCCACTTTGCGATTATGAAGAAGACGAGGCTAATGCTAAATGGGTGCAAGAAAATCTCCCTGGAGGGAAGAGCGAGAAATCTGATGCCATCCTTAACTGTCCTGGATGTATGTCTGTGTTATCTCTAGTTAGTCATAGGTAAGTTTGGGCTTTATTTGAGACGAAATATGTGTTGTAGTTCTGTGCTATTAAGTTTCTTGTAACGACTGGGAATAATCGAAATCTACCTTAAGCCTCATGTGGTTAAGCGAAGATATACTTGTATACGTAAATGTCTGGTTTTGATTTTAGATATGTAGGTACCCACGGTATTATTAAACCCTAACTAGAAATTGTGCATACAGGATAAAGGATTTTAGCTACTTAAGTACATTACTGGCTTGGATAATACCACATGTTTCGTCATAACTTTAGCATTAACCCTTTATGGGTTTTCAAACAACTATTTTCAGAACATAATTATTGAAGTGTTTGCGAAAAAGTGCGACTTTGTATCTATTATTCCGTTCATTTATAGTCGCTCACATTCATGCCTTCATTCACATTTACTCTGTCAATCATTTTCACGATGATTTGGTGCATAACAATTAATCTTTGGGTACTTCTGGTTTATAACTCAACGTCTCCTTGTATCTTCGTGGTAGGCTAAGTGGATTAAGCGATTTGCATCGCATCAATATGATAAAAAATGTGATTAGACATATCTCATTATAACATGACATACTAGAATAATATTAAAGCGTGATGAGTTATTTTATATTAATACTTTAAAATTTTGTTCTTGATTAGCAACATTTAGGAGTAAATAAATTTTAAACTATATATGGTTTTCTAATTTTAGGCACCCACATTTCAAGACACAATATTATACAGAATACCCTATCAATTGTATTGTGGACGAAACTCAAATCATATCTCGAACGATATCAAAACCACAAAATGCGAAAAAATCTCCAGAAAGCAGTTTGAAATCAAACCGGAATGTCATGAAGGAATATCACCCGGTCACTTGTAAAGTATGCGGTAATTCAGTCGGATTTAAGGAAATCCAGACCAATATGATCTACTTCAATGACATACTTGCAAGTCATAGTTAACCGAAGGGATTTTTTGCACAGGATAAGTTGTGTGGCTACTTAATAACATTAAGTAGCTTGTTCCGAGTAACATCAATTCATGGACTAGGACTTTTTGTGAACAACTTTATTTCACTGCATGTAAATAAATTGCTTTTTAATCTCGGAAATTAATAAAATATCGGGCAAAGGCATTTCATAATTGTTTTTCCTCCAGAATACTTAAAACAAGAATCCAGGAAATGTGAGCTTATTCCATTTCATTAATTTAGTCCTTTGCCATGTCATGTAATTCACATTGACGTCGAATTGTTTGTTTTTCATGATGAGGAAAATCTAATAAGTTTTTTTTCGCACAAAAAATAGGCGCTTTGAAAATTTCAGGCCTCAAAATAATAGTTGTTGCTGTCGTGAAATTTCTTACAAATGTAGCATCTGTCTACGCGTCAACGTTAAATTTGGAATATAATTGTAAGCGGTTATTATTTTCATCTTATCAAAGCTGTCCGTGTGGGAATCTGTTATGGATGTGAAATTCCTAAATGCAACTTAGAATAAAATTAATATCTACCTAATATGAATTTTAGTTACGTTAATTTATTCAATTTGAATTCTGTTAATGAACTTTCAATTGCATTTTTCACTATGATTTACGCACATTGACAACTGAATTCAGAAACTGTAGTCATCGTAACCAATATGTAACTGATTGTCTTAAATTTATTTTGAATTCTACTGAACTTTGACCAATAAAGCCTCTATACAACAACAGGACGTCTTACTCCAGTTATTGGGGCAGGGAAGGAGACAATAACAATAGTCTCATTCACCGTATTGAAAATGGAGTCGTGAAATCGTAGCTTAGAACATAAATGTATTAACTAGGGACGAGGTTGATGAAAGGTTGATCATATACCCGCACTCAATGACTTATCTAAGGACAAACGAGATAAATCCTAGCAGTGTGCTCATACTGCTGTGAAGGGACTCCGTTAACAAGTGTCGAAAACAGACCGAATCAAACACTCATATACACCCGTTAAGTAACAGATAAGGGCAAAATATGCTACAACATGACTCCTGTCAAGAAGAAAGCAGATCTCAAATAACTTCTGCTTTAAAGATTTGGGACTTAGTGTTGCTTGAATTACATAAATGTGCTAAAATCGTCCTCATGTATTGCAATTAAATTATTCGTCATAATGGATGCATGCAAGTTTTCCAGGGAAACGACAAAAAAGGATGTAACCTACCGAATAGAACAAATGTAGAAAAATTCTAATAAAGGTTAATTAATCATCATCGATGATTTATTATTAGTTCTACGATTTCACTGTGAATAGATTGCAAATGATAATATTGGGATTCCAAAATAATATCTAAAGCAATCGCTGTTACACCACACTATTAATGTACAATTCCAATTTATTGATGAGTTATACAGATAAATGTGTATGGCAGTAAGGTCGCTACTGGGTCTACTCGTAGCAGAAGGCTTAATAGCTAATCTGAATAATGCCATTCGATTAACAGTTAGTGACTTTTATTTTTACGATATATATATATATATATATATATATATATATATATATATATATAGGTGATATCTTCATTATCTGTGACGAGAGTTTGGATCTCAACAGAATTCCACATGTACCACCAGAAGGTTACGCTCACAATGGAGTCAGAGTTGAGCACAGAATTTCACTTCTTCAATGCTTTTATGAAAAGGAAACCAGATTAGTCTCTGCAAAGACCAGTGTATAGAAGAACGACATGAGACGGACGGCATACGAACCTCTAGATTTAGATTTCACTAAGCAGAAAGATAAACTTACTACATTCCGTATTGTTGAGAACCAGAAGAGTTCGCACGGGGGGCACACTCAGCAAAAAACTAAACAGAGTCGGAGAAATGCTCATAAAAACGGAATTTGTCAGATTCATTTACAAATAACTGAAACGAGATAGCTAAATAAAAAGAAGAAATAGTACTGAAGAAGATTTTGTCCTTGTATATTGAGCTTAAAGCAAGGGAGTATAATTGCAGTGATCTTAAGAAATCATTGTCAAGATTGTTGAGTGAAATAGTCGATTCAACTGAACTACGGATTGCATTATTCAGTAACTAATTCAAGGATGGACCGTTGCTTTGGTTACCTCCTTGTGCATCTGTCAGTTTATTTGCTCGTGTGGAATATGTTGTTATTAACTCCAATATGTATCCTCTTTCCAAAAGCATATCTGAACACTACCGAGCATGGTTATCAAAAGGTGAATGCGAATCGGCTAATATTTTTATTTTTAAACTGTTTCAATTCTAAATAATTCATGAAGTCAAGCGAACTGGTTATAAGGGTATCCGATTGAAAGATCTGTGTATGGCAAAGGGTTTGACAGTTCGTCAATTCAAGGTTGGTCTTTGTGATCAAAAGTGATATATCTCATCCCTTATTTAGCGATGATCCTAACACCTTATTTTAAATTGTTATGATATGTATCCGTCTCTTTTCTCCATATATTCGCCAAGTGAACACTTAACTTCCACACCTCTTTTCTATGTTGTTTTTATTCTTATTACTCTTAAAATTTTTGATTAACTCTTGGTACTTGTGCTAATGACTCAACAATTTTAAATTGTATCATACATTAGTATGTGTAAAATAACTATAGATACGATTGTACAACTTGAGAAAATAACATCAATAAAATTTTCTCTTCTGAACTGTTTTTATTTTACCCAGTTGTTATTGCATAATAGTGTCAAACTGTGGATACAGAACTAGTTGGATTCAGAAATAAGTAGGGTAGGGTCTTGAATGATGCAGCTTATCGCATCCATTTATCACGAAATTCAAACCAGTCTCCTGACACATCATATTTATGAGTGTAGTTCAACTAATCACGTTAATATCAGTCACAAGTAATTTTTTACTTTTTTATAAATTAAAAAATACGAAACTTGCTACTATAGAATATAATGAGTTCGAATATCTTCACAAACATTTTAGCTGATGACAGTAAAATCTATTTGTCCAGAAGTATTCCCTGACAAGAGTGATTTGGCTTAGTAGATGCAAACGAAAAACTATGGAATAATCTCAGAACACAATTTATATAAATTGTTTGATATCATTTGTAAAAGTAAACAATATCTATCCATAGGCATATGCATTTGTCTGCTTACTACTACTCAAGCTCTAGCTATCTTCAATTCCAAGCTAATTCTGCGTCTACGTTAAATAGGCTTTAAGATCTTTTTTAACATCTGAGCCCTGGTTCCTTATACACTTTCATATTCTTCTTTCTCTGTCTTTGTTTTTCCTAAATTTCAAGGGTATTTCTTTCTGAGTGCAGTATAATTTGTTATGCTCGACATAGATTTACAAATTTTATTTTTATCTCATAACATTTCATATTCACAATGACATTGATTTACATAATTTGAAGGAAAATTCTACCATAATCTCTTACATGTGTTCGACCTTTAGCCTTGTATAATTTTCGTATTTTCTGATCATTTTGACTTTTCATATATTGTATTTTATTCAGTGGTATTGAACTTACTCCACAAGTTAACGAAATCATATTATTATCATTTAGATTATAATTTCATATATATTGGTACATCATTTGAAAATAAAGTCGTCACAATGATGATTTTTTTGTCGAAAGATTTGTTTTGTGTTTGGAAGTGGTTTAAAAACCCAAACTAGAATTGTGATTATACGGAGTTAATGCAGCTTCAAATTTGCCTAGTTCACAGTTTTTTTTACTTTTATTAATTGGACGATTAATTGAAACAATCTAAAAAACCTTTCTCATATATAATTCGCTAAATATTTAGAAACAAAGAGTATTATCTATAAGCTTTAGATGTACTTGATGTAGTTTAATTCTGATACGATGTCGGTTTATCCGTTTTAAATCTACTGATTTATGGAGCTTGATGTTTGCGGAATTCGTGACGTTCGTAACACTAAGATTGTGATGATTAATTCGTACATCTAAATAGTATTAATGATGATAATGTATCTAAATCGTACAATATAAATTATCTCTAACCACCTACTCAAATTCATGCAGTTCTCTTGAAGATGATCCACATTTATAAGAAATAACTATAAGACGCACTGTTCATTACGGAGATTATTTTGAGATGTGTTGGGTAATAATGAGAAAAGATAAAATATTTAATTGAAATAAAGTATAATTAAATACTTGTACAATGTATTCAGGCCTATTTGTAAATTTCTAGTTTTTGAATTACTGTTATGGTTCTTTTCAAATACTGCAATTTATTATCATGCAGTTAATCGAATATTATTCCTTAACGATGAGTCCGATTAGATCTTAGTCAGTTATAAAAAAATGTAAAACCTGTGACAGAAATTCACCTGCCGAAATTGTCATTACAAAGACAAAAAATTAATAAAAGTGTAAAGTAAAACAGTGGAAATGGTGGAAAACTAAATTCTGAGAGTATCGTTTGAAAGTACGAGGAATTAACAGTGTGAGTAATGTAAACACTAAAGATTTAAAGTTAATGAAATTGACTATGAGTTGTCATTTACGGTCTATCAAAAACTACAATCTCTGCGTGGATTCTAACCAAGGAGTCAACACTTCTCTGTACTGCATAGACAATTGTTGAATGACTGCTCGAACTGTGCGCACGCTTTGGTATAGTCGACTCTAATAATTTCCTCACTCCAATTTTATGTTAGCCATCATGACAGATAACTAGTATCTGAATACGCAGTTTCTATGTCACAACCTTGATAGATTAGACCCATTTATAAAATATAAGTCTGATTTAATTGGATGGTATACTTGTTATTGTATAACTTAATAATGTTGATTAGTTTTCATATGTACAAATGACATATCAGAAAGTATTACATTTTCAATAACAAATCTGATGACCCAAAACTACTGTTTTCTAAATCAAACAGTTGACAGACTACGAAATAATAAGGAAATATGCTTTTGGGGAGCTATCATAACTATACACGAATGCTAACATTTTACTGATTAGGACCAACTCGTCTCGTTACATAAGTAAATGAATCGGCATAAAATGGCTAATCATCTCTTTGGTATAAGCGAATACAAGATATATTATTGAAGGAATAATGCAAAAACAAAGTTAAATACCATCTGAGAAGTTTTAGTAAACATCATATTTCAA